ATTGTTGTTGCACTAATTGTTCTAAACAGTGCCAATGCACCTCATGTAAGAGCACTCAGCCGAAAATTGCAATGCAAGAGGAAGCAGTGCCGCAGTTGGATGCGAGAAAAGCTCAACGACAACTTTCAAAGGGGCAACGTGACACCATAAACTTGGTGATGAGAGAATATAGGATGAAGTTAGCACAAGTTGGATACTGCATTAATGGGATTGATGCCAGCACTGGAGTAACCTTGGAACTCATTGATGCAATTGTGGAAAATTGTGAGTTTCTCACATCATCATCAGATCTATTTAGTTCGTATGAAATATGGGATGTCAAACACGCAGAAGATTTATTTGCAATAATTGTTAATATTTGTGGGCAATAATTGGCTATAATTTACTTGTCTCAATTATTAGATGTTTATATAAGGACAGTTGATAGAGGGAGATGGTTAGTGGTTAGGGTCACAGTTGGTCTATTGGTCTGAATTTTTTCATATTACTAGAATACATTGGTATTGAAGGAACTAGATTCTGTTACGAAATATCACTTACTCGAACTGTCCTGACCGCGTAGCTCAGTTGGAAGAGCATTGGGCTAGTATTCCAAAGGTCGTAGGTTCGAATCCCACCGTGGCCAGGCATATTTTTCAAGCTCGCCCAGTGTGGATATACACTCAGAGTAACACCACAAATATCATATTCACCTGAGTACACTACATACACCAACACAGAAAAATTCATTTGGGACAGTGTTATTATTGAAGTCATTTATATTACATCAGTCTGTTGATTTATACCAGGTACATGGTCAATGTTTTTTTTATTCTCTTATGAAAATACTTTAAGTAAATCTTCCCCTAGTACATAAGGCCATCTCCCTTTTCTCACCCACCTCTCCCACCCATTATTAATGACTGGTCCATTATATTGCATGGTGAAAGAGAAACACAATACACATACTACAATTATACAGGTGTCCCCAAAAAACCAAAAACTATTGAAATCACCAATAACAATTTAATTGTTAGAATTTGAATGCCTTAGCACTCTGTTGGTTCCCACGAGTGCATAAGTGATTGACATAAGTAAATTTTATGCATAAAGAAACTGTTCTTTAAATTTCCAAGCACAGAAAATCGTGCACTTTACAAGGAGATGTTCTTAACTATGATTCTAATACATGCATCTTGTCAATATTTTATGCATCATTACGTTCAGCTTTTTGGTAAAGCATTCAAATTTTGACAATAAGTGATTTCAATAGTTTTCGGGTTTTTTGGGACACCCTGTATAATAAAATTACAAGTATAATATAATTAATTAGATTAGCTATTTAAGTGTAGTTTTAAAAAGTTTAGGTAAGATTTTAGGAGGATTATCATTCCAATGACATTATAATTAAGTAATCATTCTTACTATTGTTTATGGCTGAATAGAAAACAGTTTCATTGTCTACATACATTCAAATAAACTACTGAAATGGGCAATTTGTCTGCACAATGTATTATGTTTATTCAAGATTAGACTGACAACAGTACATATAGATCACGTTTAAATATAGCAATTACAGTATATATTTACATCAGATATTAATTCAAAATATTAATAATAATTTATCGGTGATAAAAGTCGATATTTTTCTCATAAAATAACCTCATGACTGTAACTTTTTGTGAATTTTCATATCATAGTTTATCACAACGAATAATGAGTTCTTATGATAATGATGGCAGTAATTTTTGTGATATATTTCGTACTCGGTACTTCTAAAGAAAGAGCAATGGTTCCATGATATATTAATTTGTATATAAAATATTAAATATCATAGGATTGTATCAAATATATTGATTAAAAAAATTAGTCAGTTTGGTTACCCACCTAATTAAATTATATTCGATGTATATCAGTTCACCTTGAAGATTCATTGAAAACAAAAGAATTCATCTTGTCCTCGCAGGGCGCTCATCACTGGCGCTCATTGATCGACGCCATGTTTTTTTTAAAATAATTATAGTTTTGTCAGACACTCCCCCCGTTCGAATCGCCTCGTGTTTAAAAATATTGCTATATAGTTCAGTGTTTGAGACCAGCATTTACCAGGGCCTTCGCCCTCAGCAGGAGGCCCTGGGTACGAGGTTGACCAACGGCCACTTGGAACAAATAATTAATGGAAATTATTTCGGAAAATAATCTTAACCCATGCGCCATAGTACTAACCCTAATTCTGATTTTGAGATGGGGATGCATATTGTACAGTCAATCTGAGGAAGAGACAGATTAACTCACTTCGGGCTCACAGTCGGACAAGAAATGGAAATATATTGATAAAATATAAGATACAGATTTGAAAATACAGGCTTACAAATAACACTTTAAATAGTGTTTTTTAATGGGAATTCTAACAAGACTATTACAAAGACGATATGTTCGAAGGGGCCGAAGTTATTTCCGGCGAAAGGTATGGCTAGTCTATATTTTTGTTCAGACAATTGCGTAATTTGATACAATATGATCGTGTTTGACTTTCAAAGGCCCAAAATCGCTACAATGTTGATAATGACTAAAACTATAGGGAAGAATTAGTTAAATCTCTTATTTCTGAATCGAATGGTGGTATTTCTGTCTTCATAGCATGCACAGAACCGAAGATATGAAATTTCTCGCCATCGATCTCTCAGCATCGATGAGACTGGGACGTGATTAGAAAGGGTTGCGCATGCGTAAACGGTTAAAGCGTAAAAAGCGCGCATGCGCAACTAATTAGATCTCAAAAGCAAAAAAGCAAATGTTTTAGCTTAAATTCGCTAACGGGGACATTCAATCACTAATTTCCATCATATCATGGTATTACTTACAATAAATTTCGTATGCGCGTGTTGCCTATGCCGTGTTAATTACGAAAAGAGACATAATTTGGAAGAAGAAACACCAAAATAGATGAACATCTTGATTAGTATCCTAAGGATACGACGTTTAAAACTGTCTAACTATTGTACGGCCTGAGGTTTTTGAAAACTGTATCGAGAAAGACAAAAACTTACCCTTCATACTGCCAGTTGTATCAATGGCAAACGAAAGGGTTTGAACTGCTTCCATGTTCAGAAACTTAGCGAATTTTTCATCACCTACATCTTTTCGAATGCCTTCGAAGAACAATTTTGTTGCTTTAATGGCCACTCTAGCTGCAGGCTGGTGTTGTCTGTTGTATTAAAACAAGATGAACACGATATTAGTATGTACAATACGTAAAGGATCTTCAATCTCTTTCCAGCATTCGCATTCCCAAAATCGCATTCCCAGATTAGCTGGAAATAATGGTGGGTTCTGGCAAACGGGAAGTGAGAGAACTTGTTCACCAAATCAATTTCCAGCTATTTTGCACCAGAGTCGATAAAAGAACTAAAGAACGAAAGTTTATATTTGGTATATTTGTACATATAGAGCTGTCAATCTCATCTGACTGACATCTGGCTAACTGTAACGGTTATTAGCGTCGGAAGACAGTGAAATAGTGAATTAAACCGGCAATAGTCAATACTATTGTTGTTGCTTGTGTTTGATATATATCGATATCCAAAAAAGGGAAGTATCCGGCCTGTATTTTATTGAACTAAAACAGTTGGCATTGCCCATCACCAGTAGTCTCTCGCTCTTTACAAAACAGATACCTGTTGCTGCTCATTGGTTGCCGCTTAGCATTCGTCAAAGACTAGAATAATTCTCCCTGCCCTGTTTAATTATTCCTGTAATAGATGCCAATATCACCAAACTATATTATAGCTAGCGTGACCGGCTCTTCTAAAGGCGCAGATTTCCAGTCCTTGCACGAAGGTCCTCGCAGCTCGCTGCGAGTGCATACATGAGCACTTTCATCCAATCACAACGCTAAACAGTTAATCTTAATTAGATGCAAGCAATCATAGCGAGCTGCGAGGAGCTTCGTGCGAAGACTGGAAATCTGCCTTAAGGCGGAAATTGCCTTAGAAGAGCCGGCTACGCTGACTATAACCAGTGGCGGCGCCAGGCCTCAGAATTTGGGGGGGGGGTGGCATTTGAGGGGCAAAATCATATTTTGGGGGCAAGATAGAATTTTTAAAAAGATATTGCTATTTGCTAGCCTGCGAACAGGCTCTCAAGCTGAATTGAGAGCCTGCATCGATGACTAATGAATTTGAATATCTGCCCCATAACGTTCGTTTTTCCAAATATGGAATGTCTATCCTTATATGGTGTTGTTTACAACTTTCGTGCAAACTAAATTTAGACAGTGCAAACTAAATTTAGACCGTACAGTTTATACTGTTTTTCGAAATATAAGATATTCAAGCAAAATTTCAAATGTTTTAAATACTGTTTTCTCAAAACAGAACTGATTTCGTGCTTTGAGATAAGATGGCCAAGACCAATTTGATCAGTTAATCTGTTTTTTATGCATAGTGCTTCAAGCAGTTGACATATATAGAGCTCAGCGGAAACATATAAATTATAGCAACTGACCAATGAGAATTTCGCGTCACGATTTGAGACGCAGATATTCAAATTCATTAGTCATCGATGCAGGCTCTCAATTCAGCTTGAGAGCCTGTTCGCAGGCTAGCTATTTGCAGGAGATTCGCCCCCCAGGAGATTCGCCCCCCCCCTCAAAAGGGGGCGATATTCCTATAGGAATACCGCCCCTGGGGGACGAATATCCTAGCAATATCGAAAGAAAAAGAACTTATCAATATACTGAATCCGGATCTGAACGCTAATTAAAAAACCATTAAGTTTATGCTTACATTTAGATCAATAGAATGTTTTTAACGGGTGACTGCACACCATGTAAATATATGCATTCCTAACATAGTTATTATAATATGATATCATAGAACGTAGATAATAGATAAACTAACTAAATTCCACTCATTGTAAATATGCACCTGAGGAGCTAACATTAAAGCTAAAACGTTTGTGCAAAACTTGAGTGGCTTTTATTTTATTTTACGTTATAAATGTCTCTTTTGGTTGCACATTAAAACCTTTTCTATATACAACACTTGTATCTCGTTATCAGCAACATTTCACTATATATATATATATATATATATATATATATATATATATATATATATATATATATATATATATATATATATATATATATATGTTAGTTGTGTAATTGTAGAGTGTGTATTATATAAATTCCATACCCCAGCGCAAGCAGAAAGATGTTGTCTGCCGCGGCTGGGTCTCGAACCCGCGACCTTCGAATGACTAGATCGACGCTCTACCTACTG